GAGACACTACATACTGATATACACCTGAACATCAGCAGGAGAGGACTCTTTAAAGTAGAGACATTACATACTGATATACACCTGAACATCAGCAGGAGAGGACTCTTTAAAGTAGAGACACTACATACTGATATACCCCTGAACATCAGCAGGAGAGGACTCTTTAAAGTAGAGACACTACATACTGATATACACCTGAACATCAGCAGGAGAGGACTCTTTAAAGTAGAGACACTACATACTGATATACACCTGAACATCAGCAGGAGAGGACTCTTTAAAGTAGAGACACTACATACTGATATACACCTGAACATCAGCAGGAGAGAACTCTTTAAAGTAGAGACACTACATACAGATATACACCTGGACATCAGCAGGAGAGAACTCTTTAAAGTATAGACACTACATACAATTTATCGGGTTAGTCCATTAGTTCTGGAGAGTAAGAACTCTGTGGATAATTTGGCTCCCGATAAATCGCCCTAATCAATTAAAATGAACAGAATCCTAACTGGGAAAAGCTGACTACAATGCAGGTGAAAACTACAACTCCCATGATCCCACCTTACCTCAAAACATCGATGAACTCGTCCTTTTTTATTACATTCATTGAAAGACCCAGAGGTGCAAAAAATGACAAATATTTTCTTCAAAATCCACATTTATTTAATTCCTTTTGAAAGTGTTGCAAAGTGACTGTACAATAGTGTATGAAATTCATTTCAAAAGACAATGATATTTAAATGTTCCAGCCTTTTTACTCACTTCTGTCGTCTTGAAAATTACACGTACAAAAAAACACAAATCTAAAAATTCATTTGTTTGATTAAAAATATATAAAAATCCTATTTTAACAAAGAGAAAGCATTTGTATGGGTATTGCTTTAGAAACCAAATCCAGATAAAAAAATTCTCTTTTGTCGTGTACAGGGCATTTTAACAAATCCACATCAGTAGAAGCTGAATAGAAAAGCAGACAGTATGAATACTAACTTTATCGAACTAACAATAATGGAGACTGTACACCCTGACGAGTTGTAGGAACGACATTTGACCCTCTAATCTTCCCCTTCCTCATCGTCCACTGCCGTGTAGATGACCTGATTTCTGCGTTTAATTTTGGGAGTCGTGCTTTTACTGCCGGGCGTCTCGATCTCATCGCTGCTACGTTTGAGGACACGCATTGCTGACACATCTCCATCATCACCATCACCTTCGTCTTCATCACAGTGTTCCTCCCTGTCCGCTGCAGATTGAGAGTGACGCTCTGCTGGTGTCGAGTGTGAGGGAGGAGGTAAATCCATTATGTTGGAAAGAGAGGGTGAGGATTTGGGAAGGGGGAGAACCATTCGACTCGGGGTATTGACTCCCCCTACTGGAGGCTTATCTCCCTTTACAACCCCCTCTTCCTCACCCTTTCCTTCCCCCATTACAACCTCTTTCTCCTCTCCCTCCTCTTCCTCCCACTCGTCCTCTATCGTGATTTCATCGGGGTTTATAGAACTCGACATTCCCGAAGTGTCGGTCGGATACTCGCTGGGTTCGTCCCCACTTCCTTCCTCATCATCGTCTTCATCCCCCGCCTGCATCATCCTCCCCCCCTCCTCGTCTCCTCCCTGGCACACGTGTGCGTAGAGGTCGGTGAGGCCCAGCGTGGCGCAGAGCTCGGTGGTCTGAGGGTTGGAGCTGCAGCTGGGGGGGAGGTGGTTATTGGGCCTGTTGGGGTCGTACAGAGAAACCGTCTGGCTGAAGTTTTCGGGGATGGTGAGATCACCGCTGAGAGCCTCGATCACCTTCATCATCGCTGCTTCGGACGGTCTGAAGTCCCACCTGATGGGGCAAAAACAATCCATATAAGCACTTCAGGTGATAGCAAGTGGGAATGGGTCAAATGCAGTTCATGTTGAAAATGGAGATTCTTATATTCTGGGTTCTGCATTGATTAATCCAGAGGTGCCCAGTCCGTCGACCGCGGGGGCAATGCTGGTAGATCACGAGTCATTCATACAAAAAAAATCCAGCTCCGTTAAAATAGACAAAACAGGTTTTGATCCCTCCTCTTGGCCTCCCTGACACTTAATTCAGGAGTTTACTTGATTGACAGAAAAAGCGACCAATCGCTTTCCAGTCTGTTAACCCAGAATGCAAAGCGATACAAAATCAGTCAAGTGCCGGGAAAACTCAAATTAAGTTCAAGAGACAAACAAGAGACAAACAACAAAATGAGTGCGGGACCGAGCAAAAAGCTAAAGACAAACCACTTCCACCCAGAATGGGAGGAAGAATATTTTTTTGTGATGTCACATTGAAAGGTTATTTGCCTTATTTGTAAAGCAGGCGTCGCTCTGCCAAAGAAAGGTCACGTGGAGAGGCATTATCGGAGTGTTCACAAGGCATATGACAGCGACTTCCCTCCGAGTAGCGAGTTGAGAAAGGTCATGTATTATTGCTACACAAACATTATCTCTCAGTCTTAGTGTCGCCAACTCGTTTCTAACAAGCAAAAAGACAAACAAATGCGTCTATGGTCGGTGTATTTTTGATCTTTCCAATCGAGACGAGATCTCTCTCCCCCGTCTGTGTGCGAGGGGGCGGGGCAG